TAGACAGCAGTAAGAAATCTGCCAACATGTCCAGTTTTCAGAAAGGCAAAACCAGTGAAAAGCCACCAGTCCAGTTCAAAGATGAGTCAACTAAGAATAACCAAAGTGGGAAGAGGATTGTCTCTTCAGATGATTTGTAAGGTATCTGTAAAGATCTGATATATTTACTGAGGAAGTAAAGCACAGAAGAAAAGGTAGGTTTTTGGTTTTTTTTTTCTCCCCTTGTAGGAGAAAAAATGAATTGTTACCAAAACCTGTTCTTCATGATCTACAATTCAAGTACCATGGACAATGTTGTCTTTCCTTGTTGTGGAATCTTTTGCCATTAGAAAAAAGTTTATGAAAACATAGGGAGGTATGCTTGGGGGGGGGAAGGGGGGAATAAGAAAAAAGGAAAAGAATGAGCTAAGAAAGGTATGAAGCCAAAATCCAGAAGGCTGACCATACAACACTCTTTTCAACATCAAGCTTTTCAGCAAGGGTAATCTTTTGGTCATTACCTGCATTCCTCACTATTTGCTTGCATTCATCCATAGCAAAAATATAAATGATGCAAGTGATAACAGGGTACAAAACTGACCCACGGTCGTCATGGTTTTTCTGTGCTTTTCTGCATTATATGGCTTTGCTAAATTCACATAAATATTTTTGAGAGTGTTAAGAGAAAGAAGATGCTGCTTATTTAAACAATTCTAACAAAGGTCTAATCTTTTACATTAAGCATCAGTTCCCTTCATTTACTTTCTGGCTGCAGTTCATATGCTTTCTGCAAAGGACACAGTTTAATGAACATATACCAGATTATTTAAATGAATGGTTTTAATGAGTTCTTTGAATAGGTTTCTCTAAAAAGTAAGCATGAAATTACTTTCTCAGTTGGGATGCTTGAAAAACTTACATAATCATTTGCAGCAAACAGTCCTTAGTTGCTTTAACATTCCAATGTCTTTGAGTGCTAATAAACTAAAGTAGTTTTTTGATGGAAATGGTAAGTCAGTACAGTAATTTGATGTTTTAATATATTATTTGTAAGAAACTTTTTTTTCCTACAGGGAAGGGGAAAATACTTTTCATTTTATAAGAATAAGACATCAGTTTATTTCTAAATAATGGAAAGATATAGGGACAGGCCTGATACTTTAGGCTTTCCATAACAGGCTCCAGCACAGACTTAATAATTAACTTCTTAATACTCCTAAGAAGGAAATACATCCAAGTTCCACTTGGATAAACTCAGGCAAAAATAATTTGACTTCAAGTGATTTAGCTTCGAAGTTATTAAACTCAGTCCTTGACTCTGTTTACTCTTTTTTGTCTAACCTTGTTGCAATATGAAGTGTTAATTCCATTCAAATAAATAGGATTGGGCATAGCTTTCTTCCTAGCTGCCATCAGGAAGAAAAATATGCCAAAAGTCTAAATACATTTGCAGGTACCTATAGTAGTGTCTTTCATTTTTGAACCAGCAGAGGGTTCTTTATATGATTGATCTAATTGTTTAGAAGTCATTGCATGTGTTAACATTCTTTAATTGCCCTGATTTTTCTCTATTGATTTTGTTCATATACAAATAACAGCACTGCAATGGAAATGCAACCTGAATGAAAGGTTATAGAATTTTTTGTCAGTGGTATTTTGCCTTTTTAGAATAAAATCTATTTTTCCTTTGGAATAAAGTAATAAAATGGACCATAGTCTCAGAAGTCTGAGAAGTCAAGAGATAGCCCATTTAAACAGGGTTACAACAGTTGTTGGTCTTTTTCTGACCATAAGGCTAATGAACATATTCATTTATACATAATGCAACTGTAATATAGATAGCTGTACCAAACCTTAGAAGACATTCTGTTTATATTTTAAAAATCCCACTGTAATTTCTACGGCTTTGACTACGTTTTACATATAGCCATTTCTAACTTTGCTGTAACCTTGATTGCTTCTGAGTGAAACCACTACAAAATGCAAGGAAAATACGTCAGCTCATTCCCCATTCTTCACTCCTCCAACCCATGGGAGTGTGCTATGGCTGAAAAAAATTGAATCTTAAGCAATCTGTTTTGCTAAAACTTTGGCATAGCTTTGCATTTATTGTGATACATGTATTTTCTTGTATCACTGATACAAGTGTGGTAAAAATGTGTCTTCTGAAGACATACTAAATGGCTGTTGTTTTTCATGACAAGTATCTTGTCTCATGGTGTAATATTCAACTTCTAAAATGCTTAACATTCATTAATAGTAATAAATTACTTTGTCACCTCTAACGTGTAGGGTCTTTCTCATTAACCAGATACACACTAGATGCTTAATATGCACAGTTAAATACCTTCAGGATACTAATTTAAAATATGACACAGTGTGCATGTATAAAGCCTGGAAAAAGGTCCAGGTTTTGTATATGCAAAGCCTGAAATTGCTGTGGATCACATTTATCTCACACAATTTTATTTTTTCATGCTTATTCACTGTTATGAGTGGAGGAATTTGTAATTTGTGCATATTTTTTTGTGCCGTAAGATCTTGGACGTAGCTGCTAATGGCATTGTTAGCACCAGCATCAGTTTGGCTCCAACTTTTCAGATTACTGAAATAATCTATCCTTTCACAGACCTTCTATGCCTACAGAGGTTTTTTGAAACCTTGTCAGTGCTGCTTTTGCTCTCTGTTGCTAAGATTTGTAAGTGAATGACCTGAGTATCCATACTTCTTCAGCATCAGAAACCCCTGATATGGATGTCTACAGTTTTTGTACACGCACAGATTTTTCTTTTTAAATAAAAATGTTGAATTAAATATTGAAATGTTTAAGAAAAATGTTGAAATGCTAACACTGTGAAAGCCTTTTATGATGCAGATTCAATTTTTCTGCCTTTCATATTGACTGTGTCTTGGAAACCTCAGGATGTTTTACAATACTGGGAAAATAAATCCTCAAAGGCAACATGGATCTCATTTTCTAAGACAGCTACCTGAACAGGGTTACAGAATTCAAACTTTTCCACTTGAATTCTGAAAAAGGGACCTGTTCCTCATGCTTTTTTACCCCTTACCGCTTCCCAGTTTATAATAACCATCTGCTTATAAACTGCATCTTAACAGTTGCAATTCCTGCATTAGTTTCAGTGACTTAGCAAGAAAGCATACTCTTTGGAGAGCACACTTCTTTGTTCTTTTCTGGCTGGCCAGGGTAAAAGGAATATTTTACCTAGAGCACTAATCAAATGTATTTCATATGCAGCACTCTTGGTAAAAAAATTGTAGAGGAAAGTAACTCCTCCTTGACCCTTTCCCCCACCTCCCACCCTTTTTACTGAACCTACTTCCCTTTTGTATTAGAAATGGTAGCTTTCCGCTTGGAGGAAGAACACCTAGCAAAGAGATATACTTGGAAACAATTTTTATGAAGTATATCAGTGAAATAATAATACTGATGATGAGATTCTAAGCTGCACATGAATTCAAAGTATTTGCAGGTAGAACAGTAGCAAATTTTATGAAGAAACCTTAAGTATATTTAAACCAAAGTAATATATAGTTGGTATAATAGTTCTAAGACTGGGAGTAAGGAGTCCTTTTACTTTCTTGGTAATTAATGTTTAATAAAGGTCTGCAATCCTGTCAAGTGAAGAATGCTGTTTAAATCAAAAAAATTACTGCTTTTCACTAAATAAGGAGCTCTTTGTATCAAAAAGATTAAAAAAGAACCGATTCCTCCTTCAAGAATGATCGTGTCTGTAATACTAAAAGAAAGTACTGCTTTATAGGAAATAAAGTTTTTTTGCTATTATTAAAAAATTACCAAGTTAGATCAGCCAGAGAGGTCTGCACCTTAAAAATCATTTGAGTATGCCACCTAGCAGCAGTCTATGACTATTTCACATGGTCTTTAAAGTGCTCAATAATCCCATGAAGTTTTAACTCTTATTTTGTTGGTGCCTGCTACTTTTTGTGTTATGTGTCTAAAGCTAATAAAAAGATTTTTCATGAATCACATGAATTTTTATTTTACTGTTCACATTAAAAAGCTTTCTAATATCTTATAATTTCTGTGCAAAAATCCTGCTATTATGTCATGGTCAGCATGCATTGTTCTGAGCTGTAGTTTCTGGACCAGAAAACCAATTTAAACCAAAAATGTTTATATCACTCTGGGCATTAAAATTAAATGGGTACATGTCTGAGTACATGGACCGGGAGGGTTATCCTGCAGCAGTTAGTAGTTGGTAAAATACAGAGTTTTAACATCAAGTTTTAGTATATCTTTGATTGAGAAGTGGGGAAAAATTATTCAAAGGGGATTTTTATTTATTTATGTTTGGGTTGTTATTTTTTTTAACCTGATAACTGAACAAGAAGTGAGGAATTACAATGTGAAAGGTATAAAATATTCCATCAGTGACCTGCAGGGACGTTTTAGTTTCATGCAGAAGAGGTAAAGTGTGGTGAAAGGCTTTTTAGCATTAATGTCTCCTCAGGTAGTTTAAGGAAATCACAGACATTCCTCAGACAAGAATCTGATGACAAATAAAGGTTGCAATTTGTCCAGGTGTGTCATGTTATGGCTGAAGTGACAAGAGGTTTCTCAGTTGAAAGGGAGTCAACACCGTGCTACAAATAAGAAGCAATTGCTTGAGAAAGTTTTAGAGTGTTTGTAAATAGTTTCATTGGAGAATTCATCACTCAGGCCATAATATCTTGTTTTTCTCTCTTCCCCCCTCCCCTCCCAAAAGCACTGGGCAAGCACAATTGCACACTAACTTACCTGAAAGACTGGCAGATACACGAGCCAGCAACTATTAAAATGATCCAGACCAATAACATTATGGAATAAAGAAAGTATTAACATACTGATCCAAATTATCAGCAGGACATCCGTGGGATCAGTGGTGGCTACTGCCCACCCCCAGTGGGGCACAAGAGAGGGGTGACGTGAGGGGAAACCAGCCTGCAGCCCTAGGGTCCATGTCCATGCCTTCAAGGTGCCCAGCCCAGGCACTTACCTTCTTGCCACCCAGGGCCTCAAAGTGGCTCCGCAGCTCCTCCACGGTAATGGGGAAATGTTCAGTCTGCTGAGGGCTTGCTAGGGTCTCCTCCTTGGACATGTCTGTCCTCCTGCTGTCTGCTGGCACTTTCTCCTTGGTGCTGCTGCAGCTCATCTTATTCAGCACCAGGGACATTGGGGCTGATGAGCACTGGAGCATCAGGCGAGGTCTCACAGCATTGGCAGACTCCCATCTTTGCTTGAGGAGCTCCACGGAGCCCTTCTGCAGGGGCAAGTCTGCCAGCTCCAGCGTGTCCTGCCAATGCAACATGTACCTGGGGTCAGAGACAGGTACCACAGTGCCAGCAATGGCCGCCACAGGGTGGCTTGATAGCCCTTGTGTGTTGAAGGACAGGCCGAGGCACAGGTTGGTGGCTGGGACAGAAGCCACTTCCCAATGGAAAGTGAGATCCAGTAAGAGTCAGTGATAGGGTTCAGTGTGTTTATATAGCAGGAATATGTTAATTAAAAAGTGAATTAAAGGTGGTGTTTAGCTATTTTATTTTTATGCTTCCCATCAGAATTGCTGTCTGTCATGAATGGAAAAGCAGCAAGTACACAATTAGGGAGAATTTCAGACAAAGTGGGGCTAATGAATGAGTTCCTGATAATCAGTGTGTGCTACACTGAAAGGTGTTGTGACAGGTGACTGCTGGTTTCTTTTAGATTTGATACAGCTGTCAGTGGTGTAGAATAAGACACAGTATTTTAATGCAGCTAGTAGAGTGAAGGGCTACTGCATTAGCTGTGAAAGCACTTGGATAGGCTGGAAACACATCCTGCAGTACAGTGCTCCTAATTGCACTGTAACTCTTCTGGCAGGTAAATTACTAAGGGTTGATGTCAAATCTTTCTGATCAATTGACTGTGTTCTCACAAAGGCTCATTCCATCTTTCTTACAGTACGCTTGTGAAGGAAAATTGCTATTCTATCATTTTGCACCAGTTGTTGAAATCTGCTACCCGTTTCCTGAAAGCAGCTCCCAAAAAGTTTAATTTTGAGGTTTCTCTGCCCTGTAGCAAATGCTCAAATATAAGTTTTCATCTCTCGTTCAAAAAGAATTTGAGTAGAAAGAACTTGCTTCTAAAACAGGAAAGAGAGAGAAATGTTAACAAGAACTGAGACCCAGCTACCAGCTAAAATATCAATTAATTACTCCCTCCCTTCTTGGCAAGAGAGTTTGTTACGTATTTAACTATTCTTACATGCCTATATTTGTTTGAGCTTAAATATGCAACATTGGGAGTTAGGCTTGGGATTTTTTTTGAGATAATATTTAGCCAGAGTTAGTGTTGATTTAATACTTTGCTTAGGAGGAAAAAAAAATAGGAGAAGCACTCGATAGTTCTTCTTCCTTACACAGAACAAGAAAGAGTTTCTTTCCAGCCAGAAATTGGCCCTAGGCTTGTCTTTTCTTTAGCTTTTTGGCAGTTCTATGTTGTGACTGTGGCTAACATCCTGCTAATTGCCCTCCAGCTGTCTCAGATGCTCTTCCCTTCCTGCAAGCAAAAGAGTAACACCCTTCCCTCTTCTACCACATATACCTGTTCTAAGCTGTCTGATTCAATACAAGATCTTAATGGGTCTGACTTTTAACTCAAAATGAAGAACAGCTGTTGAATTCACCAGTCACAAGAATGTTCAACTTAACTCATGGTTTTAGGTTACAAATACTCCCGAGTTACACTGCATCTAAGGGTTGATTTTGGACTATGAAGCAGTCTTTTCCTAACTCAGGTGAGTGTGCTTATGCAATATCCCCATTCTCCTATGTTTTGCTTTATTGCTAGTGGGTTCTTTTGTTAGTTTCAGTATGTGTCAGGGTAGGTTGTATGCCATCATTCAGAAATAGTTTGGAGTTCATCTCCATCTCCCTCACAGATCACAGAATACCTTTAACTGAAAATGGCAGCTTCTTTTACCCTTGTCTACTGCGGGGCCTATGGCTGCTAGACAACAGATAAAACCAACACATTTGTTTTGTTTGCATTGACTTGTGTGAGGTGAAATTGTGTGGAGATTCAATGGTTTATAAAGGGGAAGATTTGCTGCACTGCTTCTTCCCTTCCTTTCTCCCCCACCCCCAGTAACATTGTACCATCTGCATCTATGTTAGGAATAAATTTGAATGTAGGCCTAAACCTGATTTTAAGCCAATTCCTAAAGATATATTTTAATGAAAGTGCCTGAAACTGGGGAAAACAAACAAATAAACAAAACCAACAAACAAACAAAAAACCCAAAGAACAAGACAATCCAAATCAGAATTTGATGTGTCCTAGAGGTCATTTGAGGTTTTATATTTTATTACTACTATCTCCAAAACCAGTCTCTGATCTTCTAATTTCCTTCTCTACCTGCTCATAGTTTAAATTAGTGTAGAGTACTAATGGGAATTTATTGAAAGTAAAATATTGGATAAATATTGAATATTTAAGATTGTCAGTTATTTTGTTTCCTGAGCTTTGTAGAGCCTTAGCCTTTGTGAATATAAAGGAAGAAAATAAGCACGGACTTGGACTGTGAGCTACATCACTTATGATTTCATACTGGCTTTGTTGAATGTAGTTTTTAACTTTTACTAGTCATCTGTAAAAATATCTTAATTAGGTGAATGGGAGAGTAGATAGTGTTGCTTTTATCAAGTATCTTTTTTTCCCCCTCTCTTTTGTGTGTGCTATTTTTAGCTTTTGGCTATCTGGTTATATTTGTCCTTTGGGCTATTCACTTCTCCCCCAAATTTATCTTGATTTACGCTCTCCTAGCAACAATAACCAAACTACACTATCCAATTTGCTGAAATCACAGGCAAATTCACGCTGGTGAGTCTCTTACTACCCTCTTCCCAAGAGCTGCAAAATACGAACCTGCCTATGTATGGGTCTTGTGGCAAGGCAGAATTTGTCTGTTATACCGATGTTTTCAGTCCCATCGCACCAGACCTCTGCTCATAACAGTCAAGTAAGAGCCTATAAAAATGATGCATCCTTATATGAACAAGGATAAAGGTTTCGGCCAGGTTAAAACTCTGCAGGGAGCATTGCCCTCTCATTTTCCTTGGTCTAGGAGACACAAGTATGTTTCTGTGGCCAAAATTGGTGTGTTTGTGAGAGGAAGAATGCAGTACCAAACAAATTAAGTTAGGTGAGCAGTTATTGTGGTGGGTAGTGATGGCGGATTTTTGTGAAGGAACTAACTAAAATGCTATATAGCCTTCAAAATTATGTCCTTGTGAATGCTACTTGCATGACTGTGTTTGTTTTATGAGGTCAGCAATAGTACAGCATTCAAACACTGCAATGAAACTGTAGGCTTTACTTTTTTTTTGGTGTTCCTTCTCTGGGATCTTTTGGATCTCTCTCCCACTGATTTTATAAGAGGCCTACAGTAATTCTTCATTGCATGTAATAAATCTTAGCAACGTATGCTTTTCCTGATCGAAAAGCTACAGAAACGCCTGTAGATTTTGTAGACTTGAATATTGCAGATATCCAGTAATTTTCAGGTTTTTTTAAAACCTCAAGCTGTTGATTGATCTGTCTTTACAATAGGATCATTTAAATGGTAGTATTCTTCTTGTGTTTTAAATGAGATAAGCCCTCTTCTACTGTTCACAGACCATTCAATTTGTGAGTGAATATATTCATGTAAGTAATTAAAAGCGCTGTTCAGAAAAACTGTATCAATTCTGCTGTGTATTCCTTTGCCAAAATGGCTTCCTGCATTTTCATCGTACTCTTGCTATCTTAAATGTTTCTTACATGCAAAGTCTTTCCTTGGTTCACTAGCAAACAAGTAAATAGAAATTGTAAAAATAGTAAACTGAGACAGTTTATTTGTAGAACTATTTGTGAATAGTGTTGCTGTGTTCATTTAGCTGTATCCCTGTGGGATGGTATAATCATGCATATTGTACTGATAAGTCCTCTCCTGGCAGTATAAAACAGTCTGTTGTCAAGCAGTTGCCATTTGCCATTGCATATTGAGCTGGATTTCCTTCTCAATTAACAGAAAGAACCCAAACAAACAACCCAAACCCTAAACAAATAAATAACAAACCCACAGAAAACCACAACCAGCCAACAACAACACCAAAATGGCAGCAGCAAAAAAAACCCAACCAAAAACCCAAAACAAAATTCTTGTGAGGACAGGATTTGAGAAGCCCTTTCCATGGTCTCTCATACTACTTCATCCAGCTGTTGCCTCTGACAGCTCCCCTTCTATCCCACCCTTAATGTGTGGTTCCAGTAAATGTGCACTGTCAAGAATCCCTGGAATGAGGATTCATAGGCATTCTTGGGCTAAATTATGAGAGGATGACAAATAGGTTTCAAGCAAAGACTGTATATCATTCAACCCAATGTATTTCCCATGAAGAGCAACCCTCAGGGTTCAGAGGAGGCTACAGGACAAAAAGCAAGTGACCCCTTAGTTTATTGTAATGCTGGGCAGAAAAGCAGGTGGATGAAGAGAGGATCGGTAGCTGCCTAAGTTCTTTGATGTAGTCAACAATAGAACAAAATGGTGCAGTTGGAAGTACACGCTCAACACAACAATCATCTAGTCCAACTGCAATATTCACTGGCCACTTTACTGAATAATCTCTTCTCCCCTAAGGACTCTAAATGTGCACATGATAGCTAGGCACACACTTCTGACATCGCTGCTTTAAAAGCTTACAGTTTCTTCTGCAGGTAAGCAGAGCCTCAAGTATCTGTAACATTTCTTCATTTACATTTCAGACACTTCTTAACAAAAGCAGCTTGGACAAGTTTATGAAAAGAGTTACAGTACTTCTTGATTACTACAAAATGTAAAGCACTTCCAAATTCCTGGTCATATTTTGAGAAAACAGATTAATTTGGGCTGTCATTTAGCATGCCAGGATTTAACTTGACACAAATATAAATAGTTAAATAAAAAAACTTTAAGAGATGTTGTTTCAACTGTAAATTATGGCAGACCCCTATTCTAGCAAATGCAACAAGCTTCCAATATTTTGAGGTAAATCACATTGGAATGCTAATTCTTATCTCTTACCTGAAAAATCAACATGTTTTCTCATTTAATAAGAGATGACTAGAAAGTGCATTATTCATATTCATGGGACTTGAGGAAGACATGCTTACTTTTTTTCCTTTTATCCCCTCATTTATTACGTGAGCAGTATCAGGCCCCACGCTAGACAGCCTATTAAAAAAAGAAAAAACACATTAAATTGTATGTTTGTGTTGAGCTTATCTTACCGCTGTGTTCTTCTCAGCCAA